ACATTTACTAAGACATATCAGAATTTTAGGTATCTCACCCAATTTTGGAACACTTTAACAACACATTTATACAAATAGAGCTCAGAGAAAGTTAAACACCATTTCTTACGTGACAATGCTTCCTGTGTGATATTCACATACAAAATAAACTTAATGTGTCTTTCTTGAACTTCCAGAGGCTCTTTTTGGAACTTGAAATTTAATTTTAGGAAGTTTGTCAAATATCAAAGGTTTAAAACATTTTATCAAAATAGGATCACAGGACACTGTAAAATAATAATCATTCATTGAGCCAAAGTGATAATTCAAAGATTTCAAAAAGCAAAAACTTTACTCTTTGATAGAGAAGAGACTCATTTTCCCAACAATCAAAAGACTTAAGAAAGACAGCATGAGGCAGTCTGTCTCTCCTTCTCCCCTCATTTTTTTCAGTATACTTAAAAGTAAACAAAAATCTATTATTATCTCTTATTAATACTACATGAGAATCTCATTCAAAATTCTACCTTTGGATCAGTGTATTTAACAAAACCTTATAAACAAATTCACCCAACTTCAATCAGTTTGACCATACACAATAAGAGTTCCATAAACCTTTTAGAACCACTCACAATTTTTTTCATTCTCTTTATTTTAGCTTTTTTTTTTGAGACGGAGTCTCGCTCTGTCGCCCAAGCAGGAGTGCAGTGGCCGGATCTCAGCTCACTGCAAGCTCCGCCGCCCGAGTTTACGCCATTCTCCTGCCTCAGCCTCCCGAGTAGCTGGGACTACAGGCGCCCGCCACCTCGCCCGGCTAGTTTTTTGTATTTTTTAGTAGAGACGGGGTTTCACCGTGTTAGCCAGGATGGTCTTGATCTCCTGACCTTGTGATTCGCCCGTCTCGGCCTCCCAAAGTGCTGGGATTACAGGCTTGAGCCACCGCGCCCGGCCTCTTTTAGCTTTTTATATGCATTCCATTTTATCTATCATTCCTTTTAATTCTTAAATTTATTTTTATGTATTTATTTATTTATTGAGACAGGGTCTCTCTCTCTGTCACTCAGGCTGGAGTGCAGTGGTACAATCTCAGCTCACTGCAGCCTAAACCTTCTGGGCTCAGGTGATCCTCCCATCTCAGCCTCCTGAGTAGCTGGGACTATAGGCATAAGGCACCATGCCTGGCTCATTTTCTGCAGTGAGGGGATTTTGCCATGTTGCCCATGGCTGGATATCTAGTTTTTCTTTTTTTCTTTTTCTTCTTTTTTTTTCTTTTCTTTCTTTCTTTCTTTTCTTTTCTTTTCTTTTTTTTTTTTTTTTTGAGACAGAGTCTTGCTCTGTCGCCCAGGCTGGAGTACAGTCATGTGATCTCAGCTCGCTGCAACCTCTGCCTCCCAGGTTCAAATGATCCTCCTGCCTCAGCCTCCCTAGCAGCTGGGATTACAGGTTCCCACCACCACGCCCAGCTAATTTGTGTATTTTTAGTAGAGATGAGGTTTTGCCATGTTGGCTGGGGTGGTCTCGAAATCCTGATCTCAGTTAATCCACCAGCCTCGGCCTCCCAAAGTGCTGGGATTACAGGTGTGAGCCACCACACCTGACCCTAATTTTTTTCTCTTTTTGGGACAGGGTCTCACTCTGTTGTACAGGCTGAGTGCAGTGGTGTGATCACAGTTCACTGCAGCCTTGACCTCCCAGGTTCAATTGATCCTCCCACCTCAGCCTTCCAAGTAGCTGGGACTAGAGGCATGTACCACCAAGGCCAGCTAAAAATATGTGTTATTTAATTTGTCTCAGCAAAACTCTAAGGGTATAGAGTTACCAAAAATATTTTATAAACTTTTTTTAAACTCTTTCTCTCTCTCTATAGGAGACAGGGGTCTCACTTTGTTGCCCAAGCTGGACTAAAACTCCTGGAGTCAAATGATCCTCCCACCTCAGCCTCCTGAGTAGCTGAAACTCCAGGCGTATGCCACCACACCTGCCTCTGACAAACCTTTTTAAGAAAACACATTATAAAACGTAACTGTTATTAAAAGTTCATTGTAGGCCAGGCAAGGTGGTTCATGCCTATCATCTCAACACATTGGGAGGCTAAGGCAGGAGGATTGCTTGAGCCCCGGAGGTTGAGGCTACAGTAAGCTATGTTCGTACCACTGCACTCCAGCCTGGGCAACAAAGCAAGACCTTGTCTCAAAAAAAGAAAGTTCATTTCTAAACTTTTATCTCATTTACATTTATTTATTCTTAACAATTGTGTTTGAGGCCGGGTGAAGTGGCTCAAGCCTGTAATCCCAGCACTTTGGGAGGCCGAGATGGGCGGATCACGAGGTCAGGAAATCGAGACCATCCTGGCTAACATGGTGAAACCCCATCTCTACTAAAAAAAAAAAATACAAAAAACTAGCCGGGCGAGGTGGCTGGCGCCTGTAGTTCCAGCTACTCGGGAGGCTGAGGCAGGAGAATGGCGTAAACCCGGGAGGCGGAGCTTGCAGTGAGCTGAGATCCGGGCACTGCACTCCAGCCTGGGCGACAGAGCAAGACTCCGTCTCAATAAAAAAAAAAAAAAAAAAATTGTGTTTGAAAAACTGCATGAGACATGAAACAAATTCAGTCATTTATCTCAAGTTAAATTTTTTATTAACTATTTTATATGTTAGGCAAGTATCAAAAAAGCAAGAACTTTGAAGTTAAATATATAGTTTGCTGATAACTCAAAAGACATAGTTGTTTTTTTTTTTTTTATTAAACCAACAATATTAAACTAGTCCTTGACCAGGCACATTGGCTCACGCCTGTAATCCCAGCACTTTGGAAGGCTGAGGTGGACGGATCACTTGAGGTTAGGAATTCGAGACCAGCCTGGCCAACATGGTGAAACCCCGTCTCTACTGAAAATACAAAAAACTAGCTGGGTGTGGCGGTGCACCCCTGTAATCCCAGCTACTCAGGAGGCTGAGGCAGAAGAATTGCTTGAACCCAGGAGGTGAAGGTTGCAGTGAGCTGAAATTGTGCCACTGCACTCCAGCCTGGGTGACAGAACAAGACTTGGTCTAAAAAAAAAAAAAAAAAGTAAATATAAACCAAAGACTGCTAAAGTCACATTAACTTGTGTCTTGTGAAAGGGTCATATAGGCAAAGTGACCCTGATAAGCAGAAGGAGCCAGGAAACCAAAGGAGGCAGACAAGTCCAGCATGTCATCATAGAGATGATTTTGCTGGGGAACTTACAGACAGAAGCGTGGTCTTGGGCAACCACAAGAGAGTTAGATCGACAAGGAGTGGTGGCTCACACCTGTAATTCCAGCACTTTGGGAGGCCAAGATGGGTGGATTGCTTGAGCCCAGGAGTCCAAGACCAGCCTGGGCAAAATGCAAAATCTCCTCTCTACAAAAAATACAAAAAATTAGCTGGCCATGGTGGCATGTGCCTGTAGTCTCAGCTACTCAGGAGGCTGAGGTGGGAGGATCTACTGAGCCTGGAGAGTTTGAGGCTGTAGTGAGCCCTGATTATGCTACTCAAGCCTGAGTGACAGAGAGAGACCCTGTCTAGAAAAAAATTAAGATGGTTGGATTCACGCTGTGCCTTTGTAAGTGGGAAAGGTTAAAGTTTATCTCTCCCACAGTCGAAGGCCCCTACCAAGTTTTAGAGAAAACTGAATGGCAAATTTATATCTCAAAGCACAGAGAGAGAATTTAAGCTTTTTCAAGAAGTTTAGGTATGTTAGGGGAAGATTAAAAATGGATGCCAAGGTAATACAATATCATGAGTTCACTGTAGGGTTTTACAAGGAAACATATAGAAAAGCCTAGAGGAAATTCAGAAGTCTTTTCAAAATAATCACTTAAATGGCAATCTACTTAGATATGTGCTAATTTAGCCTTTGTTTTCTTTTCTTTCTTTTCTTTTCTTTTTCTTTTTTTTTTTTTGACAAAGTCTCGCTCTGTTACCAGGCTAGATAGAGTGCAGTGCATGATCTCGAGCCTCACTGCAACCTCCGCCTCCGTGTTCAAGTGATCTTCTGCCTCTCTCCAAGTGACTGGGACTATAGGCACCTGCCCCACAAGCCGGCTATTTTTGTGTTTTTAGTAGAGATGGGGTTTCACCATGTTGGCCAAGATGATTTCAATCTCTTGACCTCATGATCCACCCACCTTGGCCTCCCAAAGTGTTGGGATTCACAGGTGTGAGCCACTGCGCTCGGCCTTTTTTTTTTTTTTTTTTTTTTTTTTTGAGATGGAATCTGCTCTGTACCCAGGCTGGAGTTGCAATGGTGGTGATCTCAGGGCTCACTGCAGTCTCCCTCCTGGTTCAAGAGATTCCCCTGCCTCAGTTCCTCACCAAGTAGCTGGGGACTACAAGTGTGCACCAACCATGGCTTGTTTAATTTATATATATGTGTGTGTATATATACACATATATAATATATACATATATACACATCTATGTGTGTGTTATATATATACACATATATGTGTGTGTAATATACATATTACATACTACATATACATATTACACACACATATATACACTTATATGTGTGTGTGTAATATGTATGCGTGTATATATACATATATGTGTGTGTATATATATACATATACATATATGTGTGTGTGTATATATATATTTTTTTTTCGAGACAGAGTCTCACTCTGTCTCCCAGACTGGAGTACAGTGGCATGATCTCGGCTCACTGCAAGCTCTGCCTCCGGGTTCACACCATTCTCCTGCCTCAGCCTCCAGAGTAGCTGGGACTACAGGCACCCGTCACCACGCCCGGATAATTTTTTTTTTTTTTTTTAGTGGAGATGGGGTTTCACCGTATTAGCCAGGATGGTCTTGATCTCCTGACCTCGTGATCTGCCCACCTCGGCCTCCCAAAGTTTTGGAATTACAGGCGTGAGCCACTGTGCCCAGCCTCCAGCATGATTTTTTTAGGGCGTTCTTTTGTGTGAAATAATTCAAGTAAGGATCCACTCTAACTGCCTGCCTGACCGGTTTTTTCCTTTCTCCTCTCTCATCAGGTCCCTGGTTCCCATGACTGCAGCTTCCTGAAGAGCAGAGATTTGGTATCCTGCTCACAGCGCCAAAACTGCAGGGGCCAAGGTAAAACTTCCTCTTTACCCTCTGAAGGTTTGCTGAAAAATCAACTAACAATAGCAGATTAATTGGAGAAAAGGAATACAAATGTATTAACGTGCATATGGGAGAGAACTGCAGAGTGATTATCCCTACCACGCAATAGGGTTCTGAAGCTTACCTGTCATCTTGAGGTTCCAGAAAGAATGGGGGCTTTGGTTGTGGCAAAACAGGTTCTGGCACGGGGAGGAGGCCTGACTGGCAAAGATAGTCTTGTTATGCAGATGAAACCTCACAGGTAGCAGTCCTCAGAATAGATGATAAATGTTTCTTTTGAAACCACCTTTGCAAAAATTCTAACAGTGAGAAGATTATGACAGTGAAAGAGATCTAACCTAACCAACCCCATCTTGCCTCTAACCTTCAAACTGCCCTTAATCATTCCTGGACTTAGACTAAGCTAACTTTGGGAGACATTTAGTTTATAGTTTAAATGATGATAACCCTTCCCCAAAACTAAATCACCTTTGTAAAGCTAATGAGAGACTACCAGGTTAGCATGATGTGAGCAGGCTGAATTCTGATAAAGTGTAAACATAAACAATTACCAGCCATTATTCTGGAGGTCATAAGATTTGCAACTCTCCCAGTTACTCCTGCACATAACATCACTATTACGTTTAATTGCAAAAACTGCAATTACTTTTGCACCAGCCTAATAGAACCTAAGATTGGTCTTTTGTTGCTGTTGTTTTGTTTTATTTTATTTTTGAGACAGAGTTTCACTTATGTTGCCCAGGCTGGCGTGCAGTGACCTGATCTCGGCTCACCACAACCTCCGCTTTCCGGATTCAAGTCATTCTCCTGCCTCAACTTCCCGAGTAGCTGGGATTACAGGCATGTGCCACCAGGCCTGGCTAATTTTGTATTTTTAGTGGAGACAGGGTTTCTTCATATTAGTCAGGCTGGTCTCAAACTCCTGACCTCGGGTGATCCGCTCACCATGGCCTCCCAAAGTTCTGGGATTACAGGCATGGGCCACTGCGCACAGCCGAGATTGGTCTTTTGAGATATCTTTTCAGGTTTTTGCATTTCTGACCACGGATGAACCAATGGCTCCACTCAGACGTGCTGATCTCTGCCACCTGGTCATGTGGCCCTACCCAAAAGCAGGCTCCCTGGCCTGCCAAACTATCCTTGAAAACCCTAACCTCTGCATTTATCAGGGAGATTGATTTTAGTGATAATTCAGTCTTCCACGTGGCGTGGCCAGCCTTGTATCTGTTAAACTCTTTCTTTATTGCAACGCTGTGGTCTCAGTGCATTGGTTTTGCCTGTGCAGTGGGCAGGACAAACCCATCAGGTGGTTACACTTTCAGACTTTTAAAGGTGTCAGACTGAAACTGCCTTTGCAAAAATCATAACTGAGGAAATTATCACAGTGAAAAAGATCAGACCTCACTGATTCCATCTTGCTTCTAGCCTCTAAGCTGTCTGTTCATTCCTGGGTGTAGGCTGAACTAGTCTTGGGAAGGAATTTAGTTTATAGTTTAAACTCTGAACCAACAAAATTGATAATAGCTCTTTCTGGAAAAAAAGCCCTTCTTGGGTGGAGACCAGTCTGTCTTTGTAGGACTAACAAATTAGCCACAAGATTAGAAATTATGATTGAGGAACCATGCAGTCTCTGGCTAGAAGAGTCTGAACCTCCCCAAATTGCTTCTGGGGATAAGATCACTGTCGCAAAACCTAAGACCAGTGTTTGAGATCTTTTGCAGACCCTGCATTCCAGTGCAGCATATGACACCACCCAGACTGCTAATCTGGCTCAACCAGTCCTGTGATCCCATCCAGGAACAGAAGTCAGCAAGAACTCACTTTGACCCCCTGTAATTTTATCTTCAATCCGATCAATCAGCGCTCCCGACTTCCTGAGCCCATACCTGCCAAATTATCCTTAAAAACTCTGATCCCTGAATGCTCAGGGAGACTGATTTGAGTAATAATAAAATTCCAGTCTCCCACACAGACAGCTGTGCATGAATTACTCTTTCGCCATTGCAATTCCCCTGTCTTGATAAATTCGCTCTGTCTAGGCAGTGAACAAGGTGAACCCATCGGGTGGTTACAAGACTCTCAGTTAATCTTTGCTAGATTCAGAGAAGGGAAGGCTTTAGAGGAAAGAGAAAATGCAGAGAAAAATGGCTGCATTAACGCAGATTTTCTCTACAGATGCAAATCTTCCCCACAAAAGACAGCTTTGCAGGGCTACTTCTGTTTGCAGGCCCTCTGAACAGCGGTCTCAAAACATGTCAAAGAAGTATATCTTGGGGTGAAATATTTTAATTTCCTTCCTATATGTGGGAAATAGCCAGGAGAAAATGTGTAACTCTCCAAGAGGTAGCTTAGAATTCAGGCTTATATTGCATATTCAGCTAAAAATCAAAGGAAAAAGAGTATGGGGGATGCTGGTTATAAGGATGTGACCAGGAAAAGCATGGTAAACAAGATTAAAGTTTATTGTGCAGATTTAATTTGGTGCCTTCTCCATTGAAAAGAGTTTCCTATGATTTAGTTACCCTTCTCTTCCTGGTACAAAGAGGGAGACACCCTTACAAATGGAGGTTTTCTTTATAGATGTAAATTTCCCTTACAAAAGGGTAACTTCTACTCTGTTTTTAGAGCTTCTCCTGTGTCTGCTGTTTCTCAAAATAATCAGCTCAAAATAGTCTTTATGCCAAAGAGGCATATTTTGGGGTGGCACATTCTGGTCTCCTACACTACCCATTTAAATATTGTCCTTTACCTCCCATTATAGCCTTCATTTTTTGTATTAAATATATTTACTTTTATGGAGATAGTAGATGGTATAAATTTTCTGTTTTTACTTGACAGAATAAACCTTGCCAACCTTACTGAGAAAGTATACTTCTCAAAAAGTTAAAAAACATGAATCTCATGCAAATAAAAAAATGAGCACACGTCAAATGTTTAGTTAACTCATTAATGAAGGAACCAGCAAAATGGTAAGGCTAGTTCAAAGAGAATTAAAGAGAGTGAAGCCTTATAGTGGCTAAAAGAAAGAATGCAAAAGTTTGCCAATTTAGATACAAAACTGGGTAATTTTTTTTTCTTTTGGAAACTGAGTCTTACTCTGTCGCCCAGGCTGGAGTGCAGTGGTGCAATCTCGGCTCACTGCAACCTCTGCCTCCTGGGTTGAAGCGATTCTCCTGCATCAGCTTCCCAATTAGCTGAGATTACAGGCACCCATCACCATGCCCAGTTGATTTTTGTATTTTTAGTAGAGACGGGGTTTTACCATGTTTGCTAGGCTGGTCTCAAACTACCAATCTCAGGTGATCCACCCCCGCCTCGGCCTCCCAAAGTGTTGGGATTATAGGCGTGAGCCACTGTGCCCAGTGAAAACTGGTTAATATTCTATAGTAACTGTCACCTTTGGGATTGTCTTCTCTAAAGGACAGAAATAATCAGCATCTCTATAGGACAAAATTAATATAAATTCGTATTCATTTTCTACCAGTTAGTCTTCTAGTTAAATACTCAATAGAGTAGCAATTCAAAGGAAGGCACACGCCCCTAGCCCATCAGATAAATCTTTGGGTACGTTTACTAGACAAAGCCCAGCAGCACCCTGAGAAGAAAGGGAGTAATCCCTTTTCCCTATTTCCAAGTTTTGGAAATCTTTCCTTAATGCGCTTTTGGTCACCTAATGGTTTTGAGTTTTCTTTATATCTTTCTTTGTTTTGTTTAATTTTTACGTTTTACTAATCTACCCCAAAACTTTAGAACTCTTCACTCTGGGAAATGTTTTACATAAAATTTTATTGAAGAAAAATAAAAGTCGCTGGGCATGGTGGCACGTACCTGTGATCCTAGCTATTTGGGAAGCTGAGGCAGGAGGATAACTTGAGCCCAGGAGTTTGAGACCAGACTGAACTAAAAAAAAAAAAAAAAAGGAGAGAGAAGAAAAATCAAATAAAAATGTTTACAAGAGGCATTTTCTTTTTTTTTTCCTTTTTTTGAGACAAGGTCTCGCTCTGTCACCCAGGCTGGAGTGCAGCTGTGTGACCCCAGCTCACTGAAACCTCTGCCTTCTGGGTTCCATGCCTGGCTAATTTTTTTGTATTTTTTTTTTTTTTTTTTTAGCAGAGATGGGGTTTCACCAAGTTGGCCAGGCTGGTCTTGAACTCCTGGCCTCAAGTGATCCACCAACCTCAGCCTCCCAAATTGCTAGGATTACAGGCATGAGCCACCATGCCTGGCCTTCAAGAGGCATTTTCTACTCTTTCAATGTGAAAATAGCTGTGTCGTATCTCTTGGAAACAGTGTATGTTCTCACAACTTTGATAACCTCCCTTTTAGAGTAGAGAAATATTAATGGGGAAATTGGCTCTATTTTTAACTACTGAACCTATTTAAGAAGCACTTTCTAATCTTCCTGGATTGAGATCTCCAGGCCCCAGTTTATCCTGCTAAGGCAGCTCATACTGACTTAGACAATAACTTAAGGGATTTACTGGCAAAACCTCAAAAGAAATGGGGCCCTAGAGGGTGGTGATGGGGTAATATTTGGGGGCCAGTGGGAGAAGGGCCCAGAAAAGAAGGCAGGGTTTGGGGCATTGTAATTCTGCAGAGATCCATGCCAAAAGTCCAAGAGTGCTCAAGTGAGATCCTTAAGATAGTAGGGGTAAACTTAACTTTTGAAAACGTGGAGCTTTCAAAACAGCCAACTGGGCTTAGAGAATTTAAAAGGAAAGCATTTCCCTTAAGGACCAGACCTAGTCCTTTCTAGATAAGTGAGGGTAGGGGATAAAATGTCACGGCAGTCGTCTTCTGCCTCTAAGTCATTATGGGTCCAAGTGGCTGTTGTTCTAATGGCACAGTCTACCAAATAAATGTTTTTCCCTCGTGGATGGCACATGTGCCTTCTATCCATAAGAGTGGCTAATGGTGGGGATTTTAGATACTACATCAAACCAGTGGTACTGATATTACTGGGTGGTGTAGTGGGTGGCCTATCACTACCAGTTCCTATTGTTGCAGACCAAATGCCACCCTAAAACATGACTGTAGGAGACCAGAATATGCCACCCCAAAATATGTCCTTTGACATAAGGACTATTTTGAGATGATTTTTTTGAGAAACAGCAGACACAGGAAATGGTCTGAAAACAGAGTAAAAATTGC